ACTTGGATGAAGACGAGGATGAAGGAGATGACCTCAGCCTCGGCGACGAGCTACCACGAATATCCAACGCTTCTAGTCCTCTAAGCTCTCTTCCCCCTTCCCCCTTCCTTCCCCCAATAGCCATTCCACGCGGCACAAGGTCGAGGCCGTTAGCCGGACGGGTTCTAGACAGCTCGCCATCGGCTTCCTCAGCTCCTGACCCCTCTGTGATAAACGAGGTCATATCCCTACCTCCACCCATCATTGTACCGGAGCTTATCCCTTTCAAAGATAAGCTCGCCAATACCATCCTCTTGCAAGGCCCTCAGGGCTCTGGGAAGACTGCTGCGGTCTATGCCTGTGCCGAAGAACTAGGCTGGAAGGTTTTCGAGTTCTATCCGGGTATAGGGAGGCGTTCCGGTGGCGGTTTCATGAACGAGGTTGGAGGGACTGGGGAAAACCACCGAGTTGGGGGGATGGCGACCATTCTAGGAAAAGCAGACGACATTTTCAAGCCTGCATCCACCCTGGGTTTCCTGACGTCCCCGACAAAGGGAGGGGCACGCGTCAGCCAGCCACCTCTGAGGGAAAGCTCACAGGAAATTACCGATGTTCGACAGTCCCTCATCCTGGTGGAGGAGGCCGACATTCTCTTTCAATCGGACGGAAATTTCTGGCCTACCCTCATCAACTTCATCCGCACATCACGGCGACCAATTATCTTGACTTGCAACGGTAGGTTTATTCTATGCGAAAATATTATTCTAAATTGTAATTCACAGATCCCGCCTTGATACCGGTCGATGACCTTCCTCTTCAGACTGTTCTTGAATTCAAATACTGTGAGGAGGGACTCGGCACCTCCTATTTACAGGCCATTAGTATAGCAGAAGATCGACCTATCACCCGGGAGTACGCTAAAGACATTCTTATGGAACAAGCAGTATACTTTGCCATGGAGGCGGATATCCCCGATCAGCCCATGTTGCCTGATCCTAGTCAGGGTCGAGTCTGTCACCCGGATCTGAAGAGGGCCATCAATCATCTACAATTCCAGCTCGTTGGGGGACTTCCTCTTCGAGTAGAACATAACCGGACCATAGATGGCCTTGGTCATTGGGCAGAAGAGCCTGCCATACAACCTCAACAATACGTGGACAGTCCACCTTTAACTTATCGAAAGATCTCACCGAATTCTGACTTGGAGAATATGCTGCAATTGAGCGAGCTAATTGATTCTATTTCATTTAGCGACGCCTTCGTGGATCGCCGTCTACGATCTATTCTTAATGTGAGTGCCATCTTTTCTCTTGACACCGTTCAAACGATTAATGTAAACTAGCTAGAGTCAATTGATAGACATGGGCCATCTGGAGATGATGTGCTTGGTCATACCCTTTTGAATAAGGTGCTTGAGCCTGAAGAAGCATTTGGCGTCGCGTTGGACCCACGCGACGAAGTCATGGCAGTAGATGTGGCGTACCATGCCCGGTTTTTGTTTGAGCAACGTGGATATGGGGAGACAGCCAGA